AACATTCAACTGCAGATGCCAAAAACGCAAGGTGCTATGATGGAGTTTTATAGTGTCTAGTGGAAAAACTCATAAGTGAAATTCTTTCTCCATCAACTTTCTTACATTAAAAGGATCAATTTTTAAAAATAAACTCAAGTTTATGGAAGAATCATCAAACACAAAGGCGTGGCTCCTTAGGGCAAAGCCTCTCAGTTAAGACACATTTTTACAATTTGCTTCTATTCCAAACATTTGATCATTTTACTATGTTCGAGGGAGTTAAAACTTTCTCTTCTGATGCTTCTTGCATTCTCCAATAAATGTTGTTTATAAAAACTGTAAACAAATCTGACTGAATACATAAAATTACCATCTAAGAATATAGCCTAAAATAATCATTTTCAAAAGTATTTAAATAAAATGTAAGGTGGTAGTATTTTAGATTCTTAGAAAACAGATTTTGGAAACTTGTCCTGATAGTTCAGCTATGAAAAAGATATTATAAATACATTTTAATAACACTCCAGATTTCTCAATGATGGAATTAATAATATTTTAGGACATTATTAAAAATAAAATCCACATATTTAAATCTACATATATAAACACATAGATTTTATTTTTAAATTGCTATTAAATTTTAATTTGCACTAAATTTTTTAAGTCAACAAATTTTAAGGAATTCCGTGTGACACTTTGAAAATGAGTTTTAATATAAATATGAATTTTTTATAAGGACATGAATTTCCAAAATGGTTTAGAAAATCATTTTAGGAATGTACTTAACTTTATAGTTCAGTGTTTTCAATAGCATAAAAATAATTTAAATTGAAACTTAAACTAAAAAATTAACATCATTAGATATTTTAGTGTTAAGTAAAAAATTGTTAGTTCTTTCCATTACAGAATAAAATAATACAGTATTCGAAGAGACATAATATTGGTAGTTTTTCTCAATAAGTAGACTGGTATGTACTCTCCCGTCTTTCCATGGCGTGAGCACAAACAGGAAGCACAAAATATATTTTTATAAACTTGTTTGAAATCTTTTTTCAAGAGCTGGAGCAGACTTTGCATGTATGGCTCTCAGCTGTTTGTTTGTTTGTTTTTTGGACAGGATATAGTAGTAACTTCCTACAATTTTAACTCATTTGAAAAATGTGCTTATTCCAAAAGTCTTAATGGCAAAAGATAAAACTAAGAATCATTGACACATTTATAGCAGGAAATTTGAAAATTATGTATGCTTTTGCAATGAAATTTTGCTTTTTTCCCCAAATGCCTTTGCAAATGAGATAGAGCTCATGATAAACAAAATATGTCTCCCAATAAAGATCGCATATTAAATGGGTAGTTAATCTAAGGTTCAATATTCTCCACCTTTTCTAAATTATTTGGAAATACTTTCCAATGTCAAGGAATAGTTCATTTGTTTATATTTATATAATGTTTAAAAAATGATAATGCATTTTTAGCCAATTTTACTTAAGTAAAATTATACAACTTATGACTAACACTGTGTGCTTTTGTTTTTAAAGGAAAAAATACAGTTACGTACATTGTTGGGATGTATTTATAGAGCATTTTTATTGTTGAGTTATGCTTTTAGAGCTTTAGGAACATTTGAGAACAATAATCAGTAGTGTGTAATGGCATTGTTAGTGGAGTCCTTTCTATTGAATTTTCAAGATGTTGTAAAATGAGATTATGTGAGTAGCACCTCTGGACACTTTTTCCCATCATTGTGTTGGTATCAATCGCTGACTTCCACCATTTCTCCGGGTATTAAATAGAAACACTGTTTCCCACTGCCTTGATTGGAGGGTTTATAATACATGACAGAACTGATAACCCTACTGAGATTAAGCATTGTAATCTTATGAAAGCTACGTGAAACCTGCAGCTCCAGAGAGTGTCCCCAAGACAGACCAGAGAAGGTATAAGTCTTACTTTCATCTCTTATTTTGACAAAGCACTTCTCCCCCTAAGCAAGTCTGACCCAGAAAGATAGTGAGAAATCCAACGTCTTCTTTAGCTTCAGCCACAGTCGAGCAGCTGTTCTGCTGGCAGAGGCAACCTTTGCCAGATGCCGATGCTAATGCCTTTCTGCAGAAAATGTGGCGCACGATCCCTTACTGCACGTGGACAGATTGCCAACACACACCGGATCAGTTTGCAATTGGCAAAGCTCAGCATGGCTGGAAATTGAACTATGTCTGAAAAAGGGGTGTCTATTCCTGGCTCTGCCCTTGAAGTCATCTATAACTATGGAAAAAGCCTTCTCACATTTGCTTCTCAGTTTCACACACACACAAAAATAAAATGAAATTCAATCAATCATCGACTTTCCTCTATAAGGAGCTGTGGGGATCAGATATTAAAGTATCATTTAATCTGATGTGTTGGGGGTGGTATACCAGTTTGTGAGGCCTGGCTGCAGAGACTGATAGATCTACAACCAATCACTGGCATTTTAAAGATTTTTGCTACATTTTTATCATCCTCCTGGTCTTGGGCAGCCATCCATGACTAGAAGTACAGAAATTGCATGCCCCCTACTCTCCTCTCCCTGGACTAATCTTAACAAGGCAGCTATCTCAAAGTAGCCCTGGAGAGTGCCGTGTTAGCAGAGAACTGTTACCTATAACTGAATTGGTTTTTTTGTATCTTTCCACCTCTCATTTACTATCCTTACTCATATTGATCCCTCTTCCAAATCCACCTAATTCATCTAGTATTCGCCTTATCTTAGAAGCTTAGTCACCACCTAACTTCCATAAATTGCTGCATGGGTTCTGGCTAAGGAATCCTCTTTCCTCTCTCAAAATGTATGTTTTACATTTCATTTTGGTAGGGAGATATCAGCTGACCTATTGGAAAGACTATAAGCTAAGATTTGTGTAGCTGGTGACAACTTAATCTCATTACCTGTGGTACAAGAGTGTTTTCATTTTACCAGTTGACAGTGTCTTAATCCAAAGGAATTATTTTTTTCATAGTATTTTTTTCTAGAAACTGATTTATGCAAAAAAAAAAAAACCTTCAAATACAGAAATTTTCTGAAAAGAGATTTAGTTAACTATAAAGTTACAACGAGTAATGATAGCCTAATGCTACTCTGAGCTTGTCAAACCATATAGGAAGTGTTTCATTTAATTCTGGGCCTCTTATTCTAGAAGGATGAACAAATCATAAGATATTCAGATGAATATGACAGAATAGGGGAGAAGTCTGAAAATCAAATCATGTTAGGAACAATTAAATTAACTTTGGATATTTTGTGTGGAGAAGAGAAGACTTAGAGAGGAGGCACCCCATGATCTTCAATGGACAGTGCTATAGTAGAGGAATTAGGCTTGTTCAGCATGGTTCCCAAGGACCACATAAGTTGCAAGAAGAAAAATGCAGCTCAATATGTAGAAGGAAGCTGTATCCACTAGATCTGTTAAAGATGAGAATCTTCTTCTTTATGAGAGTATTTGAGACAGGCATTAACTGGTTGCAATGAACAAAATTCCACTCTAACTTATTTGTTAAAAAGTAGATTACTGAAAAAAAAAAAAAAAAAAAGTAAGGAGACACTTATGGTACTCAGCTGCAGGCATTGCAGTCAGGCTTCCTAGAAACCAAAACAATGTCAGACATATCCTCTCTCTGCCTCATTCTTTCTGGAACCACACAGTCTATTCTCTCTCTTTCTCTCTCTAAATCTGCTACATTCTTCTCTCTGCAGAATGATTGACCTTTGGAAATTACTGGTTTCTGTGCCTCCATAATTTAAACTTGCATGAGGCTCTGGTTTTCCACAGCAACAACTCTATTACCATCTCGATATTCCTTTAGCGTTCCAGGACGCAAGAACATCTCTCTGCTATTTTCTGAGTCTCATAGTTCAAATTATCCCAACAGGATTTTGTTGGTTCCTCTTGAGTCCAGTTTGCCATACCTGATCCAATTTGTTGTACTAAGTGAGTTGGTTCTACCAGTTACCAATATGGTCAAGACCTTCGCAAAGTGCTGGGACAGGGAGCAGATTCTTTGAGAAGGAAGTATGGGGGAAGACAATTACTAGTATCTCCAGAACATGACAGTGAGCTCCTTCCTGCTGGAAGTGGAGCAGAGACTGAATAATCATCCCCCAGCCTTTTTGTAGGAATATATACTTTAGAAAGATTATCTATAAAATCCTTCCAACTTTTAGATTTTGATCTTGTAAATTTCAACATAAGTAGGAGACTTTAGGGGGAAATTTTTGCAAGTTCTCAGAAACACCAAGTAACTGACCACACTCCCATCCAGCCTAGTCTTTCCCATATTCGTTTACGTGCCCACCATTCAGCTCATTGCTCTAGCCAAAAATCTGGAGGTCATTTTTGACTCCACCCTTTCTTTCACTTCCCAAATGCAATCAATTAATAGGTCCTGACAATTCCATCTCTTAAATATCCATTGTTCCATAGATTTTCCATTAGACTACACATGCCACCCCAGTCCAAGTCACCATTGTCTCTCACCTGAAATATTTCAAATGTCTCCTAAGTTGTGTTCCAAGGTCATTCTAACCCCATTTTCTACACTGCAGCTAGAGCAACTTTTCCAACCAATTCTGATCATGTTGCCCCTTATTTAAAACAAGACATCAGGCTCTATGTTCAAAATCAAACATCCTTCAAGAATCCACACAGTCTGGATCTTGCCAGTCTCTCTGGACACATCATATACCACTTTACTCCTTTCTCTCAGAACTCCAGCCATACAGTTTACTTTCAAAAATGGAATTATATCAAGTTTTCCATCTCCTCAAGACCATTGAACTTGCTACTTCCTGTACCAGGGACACTTTGTTCTACCACTCTTAGGCTAGACAACTTCAACTCAGCCTTCACCTTTCAAATTAAGTATTATGTCTTCAGGGAGGTCTTCCCTGTTGAGTGTTTGCTCCCATGGTACACTGTTATTACTCTTGCAATATTCACCTCAGTTGAATTCACTAGTTCAATGTCTGTCTTTCCCACCAGAGTATAAGATCAATGAGGACACCTGATAATGCCTTCAAGGCAAGGACAGTGCTTGACATAAAATATAACTCAAGAAAATATTTGTGAAGGGAATAAATTAATGGTAAGTCTAAATCTAATACCAGGCATTCCAAAGATGTGAAATTCTAATTTTCTTACATTTTCAGAGAGGGTGAAAACTTCACACTTCCTAAAACATGGAAACATGTTTAGGGAAAGCAAGACACTTTGTGAAAACTTCTAAAATCAAGAGCATATTTTAAGAGTGTTAGATTAGTTCTCCACTGAAAAGAAAAGCTACAAAAATTTTATGTGGGTTATGTTTGGTATAAATAAATATTAGTATAAAGATATCTCATACAAGCAGGAAAAATATGTTTTACTTCTTTCAAGAAATTTATATATCAAGTACCTAATATATGCCAGTAACTATTCTAGATATTTTAGATATGGGGTGAAAACAATAGGAAACAATCCTTGCTCTCATGGAGTTCATATTCTAGTAATATAGCATGGTCAATCATATACATAAAAATAGAAAAAAAATGAAAAGACTGAAGTGTTCACCCAGACTTGGCCAAATTTTGTAAAACTTAAATATTCCTGAAGTTGATGTATAAAATAATAGTGTTTCTCTCTTATCTATTAATCTCCTAGGGAATCTCCTAGATGTTGTATAGAAACACAAAGATAAGACTTTGGGTAAATGCTAAAGCACATGTAGATGTATTCTCTTTGTAGACTTGCCATTACAGAGATTTATGTCTAATTAGGTAAATATTATTTGAACTTGGATATGTTAAACATGTCAAAGCAACAGAAAGGCTAAGGTTAACATGCATCACATGCTAAATAATTCTGCAAAAGAGGTTTACAAAGAATAAGTTAATTTTGGTGACCTTGCCCCTCTTCATCTCCTCTAACAACCAGAGTCTAAACTAAACAACAATGACAAGGCTGGTGACAAGGTGGCAGAGAGATCATGGGGAGAGCAAGGTGCCTAACAGTCCTCAGATCAGATTGGTCATGAGCATACGTGAGAATCTAGATGCCAAGAGTTGAAAAGAAACCATGGAAAATGGGGTGATATGATATCCCTTTTAATCCCTTTTGTTTTAATTCCAAGGGATTCTATGTTGGTACAAGCCAAACAATAGACTCTGCAAGAGCAAAGTTCATAGAACAATAGGTGCTCCAAAATGGATGTCAATGCAAAAGGAAATCGGGCCACTTAGAAAACAAAATGTTGCCATTTATGTTAAAATTCAAGCCAAATTTAACTCAGAGAGGACAATTCTGAACATAATAGATTGCTGTGGCTTCTCACCTTAGTTCAATTAGAACCCACAAATACACCTAACGAAAGTCATCAAAGCAGTATCTGATAACACTAAGAAGTTGTCAATCATTCATTCATTTGACAAATATGTATTGGGTGCCCACTGTATATCAGGCCCAGTTTTAGGCACTGAGGATAAAGAATGAAATAAAACAAACTCTGACCTTACACAGAGTCCAATCTAGTGTGGAAAATAAACATATAGTAAATAAATAAATAATACAATGTCAAAGGGGACATGCTATGAAAGAAAATATAACAGTGTAGGGAGATAGATAGTGCTAGAAGGTGGTATTTAGGACGAGGTGGGCAGATATGGCTTGTCTGTTAAGGTGACGTTTATGCTAGAGAGGAGTGAGTCAGGAGAAGCATGATCAGAGACAAGTATGGAGAGGCAGCTGGGGTCAGATCACGGACCATGATAAGACATTGTGGTGGCTTAGACAAGGGTAACAGAAAGTGATGAAAAGTAGTCAAATTCTGGAGGGAGAGAGAAAGAGAGAGATTCTGGATAGACGTTACGTATCTATCTATCTATCTATCTATCTATCTATCTATCTATCTATCTATCTATCTACTCAGGCTCCAAAATAAAATTTTGGTGCTAGAGCACTGCTGACCAATTGGCAATGAAGACCGCATCAAGGATGATAAGGAGAGCAACGATGATCCCTGATTTGCAGAAGTGGTGCAGTTGTTAAAATGCTCACTGGTAGTGCATTTGGATGGAATGTGGCGATAGGCAGCCTCTGCGATGGTCTCTAATGATCCTTGCCTTCTGATATTCATTGCCCTTGTGCAGTTCCCTCTCACACTGAATCAGGGTGATCCACATGCCTAATAGAATACTGCTGAAATGATGGTGTGTGACTTCTGAGGCTAGGTCATTAATCATTGAAACTTCCACCTTGGTATCCCAGATCGCTCTCTCTGGAGGAAGCCAGCTGCCATGTCATAAGGACCTTCAAACAGCTCTGTAGAGTGACCCTGCGGCCTAGCCCCAACAGCTAGCAATAATTTGCCAGCCATGTAGAAGTGAATATTGCCACTCCAGTCAAATCTTTACATAAGCACAAATCTTGCTGACATGTAATTGAACCTCATGGCAAACCCTAAGCCAGATACCACTCATCCAAGCTGTTCCAGAATTCTAGATCCAGAGAAACTGTGGGAGATAACAAATGTTAATTGCTGTTTTAAGCCACTAAGTATGGAGAGTAATTTATTACACAGTAGCAGATAACTAATACAGATACTGATGGAATGGAATATATTAAAAGGTTCAATATATCAAATGTTTGAGAAGTACTGGGGAAATAGTAATTATAAGAATTATCAAGTTGTATGGCTATTGATATGGGCAATAGATGCACTGGAGAAAGGAAATAAAAGGCTTGTCAGGATTATTCACCACTTAAAGACTAAGTCTGAAAATCAATGAGTCTCCTTGATTTCAAACTGTGTCTCCCAATCTGACAAAGAGCTTCTCAGCTCCCGCAGTCAGAAGGCAGACAAGGTGAGGATCAGACCTAGAGCTTAATCATAAGAGTAACAAAACTCCAAAAGAGATTCAATTTTCAAACATAGCACGTCTGCAATGCCAAGGTCAGGGCCCTTGGTGGGAAGCAGTGGGAGGCTAAGACTTGGGATGGGGATATCAGCATTGATGCATTAACACATCTTGAATCCCCAGATTCTCCTGAACCCTTTGGATCTGCATAAATGGCTCACCCTCCCAGTTCAAGGCTAACACTTCTCTCTTGTTGAAACATAATGCAAAGGTTTCTACCTTGTAGGACAACCCGTTCCCCCGCAGGATCTGTATCCTGTTATGTCTTCTAAGCCAACAACTGGAGTTGAGCCTTAACATAACCCAGCCAAGGAAAGGCTCGGATCAGCTAAGGAAGGACAGAGCCTATATTTCAAAGACATGGCAAGACCTAACCTACATGTGCCCATAGGGGGCAGGAGAGTAAGTACAAGACTAAATCCTGAAGATGCTGGATTAAGGAGGATGGAATACAAAGTTGGATAAGGAAGAGTTTATTAACATAGGGACATTCTACCATTACACGGGATTTAACACCCTGACAAAGGACCTTGGAAGATGGAGATAATATGCTTCTAAGATGGCTCTTAGAAGTTTGTTGATAGTGTTGGCCATGATAAGTGAGGTACATTTGCCAGGCTGTTACGGCAGAAGAGGGAGAAGGAATAAAAAAGGCTGGGAGAAATGGGCATGCTACAGTGTACACATTGCATAAGGCTAGAAAGCCCACTAGACGACAATTCTGTGGGAAGGCCAGAGGCCACTGTTTCCCAAGATAATAAGGAATGTGTAGGTCAGAGGGGAACCAGCAATGATGAGAAGCTCAGTAGTGGCTCTCCTCTATTGGCCATGCTGATGATAGGAGATACTTCTATAGAACTGCGCTCACTGATAACAGCTGGGATGATTGGAGCCAAAATAATAACAGGAGCAAGGTGGGAACAATCATTATAGTGAGCACCAAGGTTGGTAAGGCAGTTGAGAGTACATCTAATAGTTATTGAAATGTTTGTTTTTCACCTTTTCCAAGTGAATAGTGTAGGCTCAGGTCTGGAAACTGGGCAAAGCACGGATTCTGGAGGATGACAATGGACTATTAAAAACTAAACCAAGTAGTAGCCCCACTTGTAGCTGCTATGCCAGATATGGTATCTTTGCTAGAGAGGTTAATAGAATCTCAGGTACATTGAATATGGCCATTGATCTGGCAAATGCATTCTTTTCTAATCTTATCAGAAAGGAAGGTCAGGAACAGTTCACATTCACTTGAGACAGACAACAGCATATACGTATAATCTTGTCCTCAGGGCTACGTTAACTCTCCTACCCCATGTCAGAGGATGGTCTAAAGGACCTGGGCCATATGGATATTCTGCATAAAATCATATTGGTCCAATATATTGATGATGTCATGTTAATTGGAAAGAATGACCAAGAAGTGGCAAGTATGTTGGAGATCTTTGTAAGACACATACATTCCACAGGGTTTGAGATAAACTCAAAGAAGACTTGGAGATCTGCCATATTAGTGAAGATCTTTGAGATACAGCGATCTAGGACATGTCAGAACTTTCCATCCAATGTAAAGAACAAATTATTGCATCTCACACCTCTCAACACTAAGAAAGAAGCAAAATGCACAGTAGGCCTCTTTGGGTTATGGAGGTAGCATATTCTACATTTAGGGATACTGCCCTGATTCAAATATCGGGATACACAAAAGTTAACAGCTTTGCATAAATCCAGAGCAGGAAATGGTTCCATAGAAGGTACAAGTTATGATGCAAGTGACCCTGCTCACTGGGCCACATGATGGCAGACCCTATGGTATAAGAGGTATCTGTGGAAGGCGGAGATGTTATATGGATTTTATGGCAAGCCCCAAGGGGAATATTACAACATGGATCCTTAAGGTTCTGAAGCAAAGCCATGCCGCTTGCAAATGAGAATTATGTATTTCTTGGATACTAGCTCCTGGCTTGCTACTAGGCCATGGTAGATACCTGGCCGTGGTATATCAAGTGACCATGTGGCCAGAACTGCCCATCACAAAATGGGCTCTTCTAGACTTTCCAAGTCATAAGTTTGGAAGGGTCCAGCAGCAATCCATCATTAGATGGAAGTGGTACATCCAGGGTTGTGATGAGCATGGGAAGGGGGCACAAGAAAACTACATGCGCATGTGGCTCAGACCCTCATGGCATCCAACACTGTTGTACAAGAATCTCCTTCCTCAGCTCACACCTACGGTCACATGGCAAGAGGAGGCAGGTCCCTCACAACCTGATGAGGGAGGAGGGGAAGAACCGAGGTAGGTTCATGGATGCGTTAGCTCAAACTGTTTGTGCAGGCCAAAAATAAATTACAATTGTACTATTGCCTCACTAATGAGTAGTACTGCTAGAGCAGTGGTGGGAAATTCTCTTAATGAGAAGAACTTTGGGCAGTCAACCTGATCTTCCTGGTCACTGGGTCACCTACTTGGTATGGAAAAATAAGTAGTCCAGGTTAGAATGCATACAGCCTTGTAACTGATTTGATTCTGGAACCTGACAGAGAAAGATTGGTAGGTCAGGGACAGGAAGGTTTTGGCAAAAGTAATATGGGTGGATTAATGTGAGTAGTGATGAAATATGAAAGTCTTTGTATCACATAATGTCATGCACAACATAACATCTTCCAGAGAAAAGGCCCTAAACAACAAAATAGAAAGAATGACTCAGTTAGTTAACATCACCCTTCTTGTCATTGGCAGCTTCAGTTCTTAGATGCATGAACAATAGATGTGTGAACGAAATAGGCTGATGAGAGGAATGGAGGTTCTGCATGGGACCTAAAGCATGAGATCTCTCTCACCGAAGCTGATCTAGCTACTGCCACTGCCAAATGTCCAAACTGTCATCAATGGAGACCAACATTGAGTTTTCTGTATGGTACCACATTTCGAGAGAACAATTTTGGTGGAAATTGATAATTTTGGACCTCTTCTACCTTGAAAGGGGCAGCAATTCGTCTTGAGCAGAATCAACATATATTCTAAGTATGGATTTGCCTTTTTTTCTTGAAGGCCTCAACAATCACCATTAGCTGAACGTGTACAGAGTTTCATCACAAACATGGGATCCTACTCAACATCATATTGGACTAAGGGGCACTCTACAGCAAAGGAAGTATGGCACTGGGCACAGGACTGTGAGAGCCATTGGTCATATCACATACTACACCACCTAGCTGGCTTGACAGAATGATGGAAGAGTGTAGTTATGGGGCCAGCTTGGAGATGATACAATATGAGGATGGGGCATACTCCATGATGTGGTATATAACCTAAATCAATGATCATTATACAGTGCTCTGTCTTCAATATAGAACATCTGAATCCAAAATCCAAGGAGTGGAAATAAGAGTGATTCCATTACCGTGACTCCCAGTGACTTGGGGAATTTGTGCTTTCCATACCTGCAGGTTTAGAGGCCCTGATTCCCAAAGGGAAATGCTTTCATCAGGGAACATTATATGAAACTTTAAGTTGTAGCTGCTGCCTAGCCACTTTGGGCTTGTCATGTCAAGAGACCAGCAGCAAGGAAAGAGATGACTATGCCAGCAGGGATAATTAACCTGGATCATCAGGAGGAGGGAGAGTTGCCATCATACAAAAGGGGCAGGGAAGAACATGTTTGGTACTCATGTGATCCACCTCCATTTGCCAGTTTTGTTGGTAAATGGAGAAGCAAAGCAGCACAGACTGAGACAGGCATGGTGAAAATGAGATCAGACCTTTAAGAGATGAGAGTCTGGGTTGTTCCCACAAGCTAAGTCACCTAGACCAGCATATGTACTAACCAAGGGAATTTAAAATAAGTGATAGAGGTGGGAGATGAATATCATTTGCAGTTTCAATACCAGCTACATCAGTAGCAGCTCTAATTCATCCTGCTAATGTTCTTTTAAGTTTCTCCAGGAAAATATGTCCATCAGAATCATGAAAGAGCTACTTCCAGAAAGTGGATCCGAGCAACACCAAGGTGGTCTCTATGGATGCTGTGATGGGCTATGCATATTTTCCCACTTCAGTCCTAATCATTCAGTCCTAATCATTCAGTCCTTCAGCTACTGAAACTTATTCTCAGAAGAAAGGAACCACCTTACCCAAGACCATGTTTTCTTCCCAGGACCAGTCCTCACCCAGTGACTGTTGATCCTGGATATAAAGGACCAGCCTCCTTGCCACAATTTGGGACAACTCTAAAGGTCATCTCAGCGCCAAAGCTCTTCACAAAACGGGCTGAGATCTTTGTTGTAACTGCAGCCCAGTTCAACTTTTCTCTCCCAGGAGTCTTTCCTCCTTCACTTCCAAAGGTATTGATTCTAAGAACACTTCCCCAATAAACTTGTGCATACAAATCTCCATTTCAAAGTCTCTTTCTCAGAGATCCCAACCTACATCACAGGATTAGGTATTATTATTGGTCTTGTTATTAGGCACTTAGCATACATTAATTTAATTCTATCTCCCAAAAATATGAGGTTAATATTAAAGTAAATCCATTACAGTTGAGGAAAGTGAAACTTAGAGAAGTTAAATATCTTACCTAATATCACTCAGTCTATAACTGGTGGAGTCAGGATTTCAGCCAGGTCAGCAAACTTCTCAAGCTAGTGCGAAGTTTCATGAATGGCTCAGTACTGCTGTCAGAGGAAATAGTGGGAACCAAGATGTAGACAAATAGATGACTTGCACAGCGTATTCCATGAAGATCAGTAGTGAGTGGTGGCTGAAGCTTGGGGACACGAGGAGAGGCAGGGGGAGAGAAGTCTGAAAAAGACAGAAGAGTTCTAATTGGGATAAGCCATGAATGCCACGGCAGACATAGATTTCCTCCCAAATTGAACCAGTTCTGTAGAATTCGCAACCATTCTCTTATCCCTCAAAAGAAAAAACAATATGGCTTCTTGACAAGGTGAAAGCTAATGGAAAAGTCACATTTGCCTCCTTAATTATGTTACATGTTTGCCAGGTATGAGAAATGGCAGGGGATGGAGGGAGAGGTGTATGGCACTAGCATAGAAAGAAATCCAAACCTCCCCCCCCCCGCCCCCCTGGGCTCATGGGGTGAAGGTGCCAGTCGTGGAATGCCGCACTCCTAGCCTCCTCTGTTTATTCAGCCCTGGGGCTGAGGTTTGCCTTGGAGTTGTAACCTTTATAAGGGGTTTGCTTAATGACAGAATTATTCAGCTGCATACCTCACCCCAATTAGAAAAAGGCTGTTTGGATTCTAATTGGCCTTGACACAAGTCTGCTTAAAGAGATTCCCCAAGAATTATAGAGCTACTTTCAGAGTTTGACTTGGCCGGGAATATGAAATGTAACACGGTTTTTCAAATTTTCTGCACTTACCATGAAACGAGCAAGCCACAGGTATCAAACACGCTTTGTTTTTGTGTTATAATCACATTACAAATTGAACATTTCCACATGTGCAAGTTGGCAAATCTAAAATGAATGATTATGAAGATCGTAATTACATATATCAGGTATATATGGTCTACATATTTTCACTCACACAAAAGTGTATTTTCTCAAGTCCCTAGACATCCACGTGTAGTGTGTTTATAGGATGTAAAACCATCATCCTATATATAAACCAAAAATGTATATTTTTAAACAGTTATCACCAGGTCAGGTGATAAGTCGACATAATATTTGGAAGGTGTAAATACCAGGAAGGGATAGAGATTCCTAAGTTAACCATGAGGAAATGGCTAACAATAATAGGTTGAAATCAAGAGGAAAATAATTTGGACTAAATATCAGGAGGAGAAAGAATCAGCTTCCTGGCTACAATAACTGTTAAGCTATGAAATATTCCTAGGGGGAGTGGAGATCTCTTCCTTGCGCTGGCCTTTGCAAATGAGGCGTGCATTCTTGGAGGCCCTTGTAACAAGCCGCTTTGCTTGGGGAGAAGAAGGAGATCCTTTCCGTTTCCATTTTATGTGCCTTGATGTTAAAGAAAAATCTCAAAAGTAATCATGTAATTACCCATTAAACGTTCACCAAACCGCCTTTGAGCGAGATCCTGCATTTACCTTATACTGAACCTTATGTCTCCTGTTCCTCCACAGCCAAGAACAATCTCAGTCATGCAGTTTGTAGCAACCTGGAATTTTTTTTTCCAAATTCAGCTTGGTCCTGACAGCCACTTGGTGGTCTTTCGCTCACCTCTGAGCACCTCTCTCTGCCACTGCAATGGAGATTTTCCTAAGGAAACAAATGTATTCATCAAGGTTTCTCTCCTCATCTCCCCTCAACCCCAACCACTTTGCCCCAACAGAGACTGTTTCCTAGTTCACAGAGAAAATGAAAACATAAAGTATAAGCACTGTCAAACTCCCTCTCCCCCTACAAATTAATCTGTATCCATACTTTCCCTCCCTTCCTGTGGAGGCCGAGGCCCTCTTCTTGTCCCCGCTGTGTGCT